AGTTGCACAAATAACATTTTTAACATTCTCGAGGCAAATAACATTTTTAACATTCTTGTAGCATTTTCAACATTTTTTGTCTTTTGTTTTTCCTTGGTGGCCTCCAATCTCCATGACTTGGAGCCGCATAGAACACTTAAAGGGAAATAAATAGGTTACGAATCTTTTATTCGCTTTTATTAACGTATACTTAATAATTCCACATCAATTCCCAGTTCAACTTTATCATAAGGCGACATTAACAGACCTTTGCAAGCGTGAAAATACAGGTTAGTCCTCGGTTTACGACCACAATTCAGCTGGGGAAAAAAAATCTGTTGCTAAGCAAGACAGCTGCCAAGTGAGTTTTGTCCCATTTTGCCACCTTTCCTGCCACCGTTGTTAAGTGGATCACTGTAGCACTTAAAGATAGTTACATGGTTGCTAAGTGAATTTGGCTTCCCCCTTGACTTTCCTTGTCAAAAGGTCGCAAAAGGGGACATTGCAACCATCATAAATATGAGTCAGTTGCCCAGCGGCTCAATTTTGATCACGTGATCTTAGGAATGCTATGACAGTTGTAATTGTAAAAAACGCTCATAAATCCATTTTTTTTTCACCACTGTTGTAATTTCGGTTGTTAAAATGAACGGTTGTAAGTCCAGGACTATCTGTTTCACTCTCCCACCATTTATTTTACAGCCTGAAGGTTCTTCTTTCTCATCCTCCACCCATTGGGCAGCTGTGGGGTCTTTTGTATAAATCATTACAGTGAGGATATATCTGCTGAGTAAAACTCCACACTGGAGACCGGAAGGGCATCCGGCCAGTAAATACTCAGCTCCATTCAGTTGCCCGACTCCACCCACAAGGTCATTAAAAGATTATTACATCAGGAAAACGAAGTGGAGATACTTACCTCTGTCACTGGGTTGCTGGTGAGGATGGAGAGAACCCCAGTCTCCCCACTTTGACCGTGGGGGCCATGACAGCTGGCATTATCGGGCATCTTGGTGCTGTTGGGGTCCCCGCAGTGATGCAGAGGGGTGAGAGCAAAGAGGACATCTGAACCCAAGGCCAAACCCACGAGGACGCAGGGAAGACAGCTGAGCGCCAACAGAAGGCGCTGTCGACGTTGGCCCCAGGCCCCCAGGCGCCCTAGCAGCCATTCGAAGGAGGGAGGACCCACCTCCGAAGCTGAGATGGTAAAATCCCTTCGGGGACCACCCGGATCTGGGATCGGGGGGCTGGTGTCCATGGGAAGCCTCTGCAGAAGAGGGGAAAATGGAATGAATAAAGCAATAAGGAAGAAGTACAAAAGAGAAAACCGAGAGGGAAGAAAGAAATGAGTGTTTAAATGAGTTTTTTGAACCGTGGCCCCTTTAAGACAGGCAGACTTCAACTCCCAGGATTCCCCAGGGCTGGGGAATTCTGGGAGTTGAAGTCCACCTATCTTAAAGGGGCCAGCACTGCTTTAAATGAACGGCTGCATCTCTGAACAACCTTGCCTTGATTTTTGAACCCCAGCAATCTTCACAGATGATGTGATATAGCACTATGCCCAATACATGTAGTCCTCGACTTCCAACAGTTCATTTAATGACCATTCAAAGGCACGACAGCATTGAAAAAAGTGACTTCTGACTCATGACTATTGCAGCATCCCCATAGTCACATGATTTATGCTCGGATGCTTGACAAGTGGTTCATATTTGACGGTTGCAATATCTTCGGGATGGCGTGATCCCCATCGGACGAGCAAAATCAATGGGCGAGCCAGATTAATAACCGTGCCACTTAATAACTGTGTGACTCACTTAACAACTGTAGGATTCACTTAACAAATATGACAAGAAAAGTCGTAAAAAGGGGCAAAACTCACTTCACAGTCTCACTCAGCCACATAAATTTGGGGCTCCATTGGTCGTAAATTGAGGACTACCTGTACCAGGTAACAAGAAATTACTAACCCAGATTAAAATAAACCAAGAATCTTGGCATATGGGGAGAGAAAGCAGATTATGGGAGTCCAGACAAGTAGGTTGGCCTGCAATTCCCACAAGCAGCGGCATGGGGGCGCCATTTCCCTTGGGTCAAGGGGTCCCAACCCCACAGCTGTATGGCCAGATTCATGAGTGTCAAGAATTCAACAGGTCAGGCTGCTGACAACCATTTGGCCCCAAACCATTGCCCCTCCCTCAAATGGTAAACCACCCTAACACCCACACAATGCATTTGGAGGAAAGGTCCCGGGGCTGGCTGGGGATGCTAGGCCTTGTAATCCATCTGGGAATTCGGGTTGGGGATGCTAGGCATTGTAATCCTTCTGGGGGATGCATCTGGGCATGCTGGCTGGGGATGCTAGGCATTGTAATCCATCTGGGGGACGCCAGGCCTTGCATCTGGGGAATGCTGGCCCGGGATGCTACGCCTTGCAATCCATCCGGAAGCTGGCAAGGGAGGGCCCGGAGAGGAAGATGGGCTTTGTACTGGCCAGGCTGAGGAAGAAAGGATGGAGCAGGGGGAAAGAGACAAAGCAGCCAAGGAGGCAAGCCGGTGTCCAAAGGTGTTCACACGACCCCTTTCCCGGGCAGGCTCTGCATTTAAGGGGAGGGGGCAAAGGGGGCGCAAAGCAAAGGGGGGGAGCGGCGCAGGATGCAAGGAAAGGCCGGGGGGTCGCGTGTGGGGAGAAGCCAGACTGGGGATGCTCACCAAAGACCGGGAGGGCGCCCACCTACGGCTGCAAAACTCCCCGAAACCGGGCCGCCACCGCCCGGGAGGCTCAGGCCGAGGAAGCCGCCAATCCCCGCCCCAAAGCCGCCTCCTCCACCTCCACCCAGAGCAGCCGCCACCGCCCCCCGGCCCGACGCAGCGGCCTCCTCGGCTTCCTTTAGCCCCCTGGGATCTGCAACCTGGCGCCCGCTGCAATTCTCCAGCTCAATTCGGGCAGGGTTTTTATTTCGGATTTGGGGACGGGGCGTCGGCAGCAGCCCCTCCGGGCAAGGCTGGATGATAAGGCTGAGAAGGAGCCCCGGGCGGGCGCCCCGCGGGCGATCCTAAGCTTTTGCGCGGAGGAGAAGGGAAGCTTCTCGGATCGGGCGCAGGGGCTGGCGCTGCTGTCCGGGTCGCTCGTCGGAGGAGGCTTCCGCAATCATTTTTTTGTGGGGGGGGGGGAGGGGAAATTAAGGAGGCATGCCGGGAGATGTAGTTCAGGAGATCCGGCCAGCCGTCTCGTCCAATCGTAGCCGAAGGCGGAAATTTAAACCTCTTTTTTGGGCATGGATTTTTTCCCCGATTCGATTTTATCCATGGTGATTATTTATTTAGTTTGTCATGTCCGTGTAATGTGTATTATAAGGCGGCGACCCTTTGAGAGCTGGATGCCACAAAATGTCATTTTAATGTAGGCCCATCAGTGTACATTCAAAATGACAATAAAGTTACTATTCTATTCTTATTATATTACATCATATTTTTCTATTCTATATTCCACGGGTGGGATTCAAATTTTTTAACAATCGGTTCTGTGGGCGTGGCTTAGTTGATGGGCATGGCTTGGTGGTCATATTATTGGCTGGGTGTGGCCAACTCAACATCACTCACATCGAGGCAGGCATCTCCTCACCTGGCCTTTCAGACTGTGGGGATGCTGCAACAGTCCTAAGTGTGAAAAATAGTCATAAGTCACTTTTTTCAGTGCCATTGTAACTTTGAATGGTCACTCCACACAAGCAAAGTACCAGCAAAGGAGGGGGGAAAAAACTCCAGGGAAGTTCCAGAGACAGGAAGTCCAGTCCTGCCAAGAATGTAATAAGGGTTAACAGAGAGGCAGTTTCTGTAAGCAACACCAGAATGTTTCCTTCCTGCCTTCCTTACAGGATTAGGCCAGTAATTTCTTCTAACAACCGGTTCTCCGAACTGCTTAGAATGTTAACAACCGGTTCTAGTGAATAGGTGCGAACTGGTAGAATCCCACCCCTGCTATATTCTATTCGTACATCACATTATTCTATTCTATATTCTATTTTCTATTCTATTATTTCATCACATTATTGTATTCTACTCTATATTCTATTTACTATTCTATATTCTATTTTCTATTCTATTTTCTATTATTATATCACATTCTATTCTATTTTATATTCTATTATTACATCACATTATTGTATTCTATTTTCTATTCTATAATTCTATTTTCTGTTATTCTATCTTTCTTAACATTAAATCACATCACATTATTCTATTCTATTCACACATGACTGAGATGGGTTCATGACTTAAAATTCCCCTCGGGGTCTCTTTTAAAACTCTGGTCCTTTAAGAGGTGTGGACTCCAACTCCCAGAAGTCTTGCTAGCTGGGGAATTCTGGGAGTTAAAGTCCACCAATCTTAAAAGGGGCTGAGGTTTAGAAATGTCATGCTGGGGTCTCTACAAGCAGCGACCTCTCTATGCAATTGTTTTCATTGCCTGTAAAATCTGTTTAAAAAAAAGTCCTAATATAGTTAGTCCTTGAACTTATGGCCACCATTGAGCCTAAAATTTCTGTGGCTAAGCAGGAGAGTTGCTAAGTAAATTTTGCCCCTTTCTTGCCACCGTTTGTAATTGAATCATTGCAATTGTTAAGCTTGTAACAGTTAAGGGATTCCCCACTGGCTTTGCTTGTCAGAAGGTCACAAAAGGAGAATCACATGACCCCGGAGCACTGCTACCGTCATAAGTACATGCCAGTTGCCAAACATTCGAACTTTGATCATGTGATCAAGGGATGTTGCTACAGTTATAAGTGTGAAAAATATTGTCAAAAGTCATTTCCCCCCCCAACTTTGGATGTTCACTACATCTTCTTCTTTTAATGACCGTATAATCCCTTGCAGGGTGAAGTCTGTGCAAACTGAATGAAGCTGAGTGTTTACTGGCCGGATGCCCTTCCTATTGACAGTACAGAGTTTTATTCAGCAGATACATTCTCTTTGTGGCCAGAGAGAAATATCTGTCTACGTAGGATCAAACTCACAGCCTCCTGATTGTGAGGCAAGAGCTCTACCACTAGGCCACTGCACCACTCCTGAATGTTCACTGCATGAGGCTGTAAATCAAGGATTATCTCCCTTCCAATAATTGAAAATAATATTAAAGATCTCCCAAGAAGAATGTCAGAAGTGTGGATCAGACAGGTCGTTCTCGACTTACGACCACAATTGAGAGCAGAATTTCCGTTGCTAAGAAGGTTGGTTGTAAGTCGAGGACTACCAGTACAGTTGGATGAAGAAGGAACGTGTCAAAAATGTCAAAAAAAACACCAAACAGCCTTTTTTCCCATCTATTTTATTATCCTCAAACCTAGAGATTCTGAGAAATATTTTCTGAGGGGAAGGGGAAATACTTTGTCTCTGTCAAAATACTGATCTTTTGAAGGTGTTTCTGCTAATTCAGTCTTTTCAACCGTGGTTACTTTAAGAGGGGTGGACTTCAACTCCCAGAATTCCCCATGGCTGGCTAGGGAATTCTGGGAATTGAAGTCCATCCCCCTCTTAAAGTGACCACAGTCAGAAAAATACTGTTGTCATTGCTTCGTCAATTCAGTTAAAATAAACTTTCGTATTGTTTGTCCTTCCAATCCTTGACATACTATCTTTTATTGCAGCTAATCGAGGGATGGGGAGGGGGGAGGTGTCTGGCATTGAGACATCCTGTTTGGCAGCCATTTTCTTCTTCCTCGTTTCTTATTACGCCTCCAGAGTTTCGACCATCAGGAGCATCCAGAAAGCAGCGAGGGTTCCCTTTTCTTCCCCCCCCTCAACCCCCCCGCAAATCCATTCATCTCCGGGGATGATGGGGTTGCCCTTCCAGATTAAGAGCCCGTGCTGCTGAAACCCAGTTGCGGAGGAGGCCACGAGTTTGAGAGACGCCGTCGAGGGGCTCCAAAAACCAGGGACGTTCTTTGGCTAAGGAAAATGGGCAGGGTGTAAGGAAGGAGGCCAAGATCAGGTCCTTGAGATACAACAGGGTGCTTTTTTTTTTTTTTTTTTTGGCACATGCGTCGGCCGTGGTGGTGGATGAACGAGCTGGGCTGAAGCGGGAACATCGGTACCGATTCCACAACTGTCACTGGTCAGGATGGGCCCCGCCGGGCACCCTCCACAGAAAGAGAGACCTATCGTCCCATCGTCTACCATAAGGTGGAGTGGCAGCCACGCGGAGTCCCGGATCAAGAGGGTGCCAGGGTGCCCAGCAAGGTGGTGAAAGCCAGCGCTTGGCGGGACAACTCCGTCACGCAACCCTGCATCTCGCGAGCGGCAGGCAGTGACGGGTAGCTCAAAGCAGCGCTCTTGACCGAGAGGACTGCTTCCTTCAAGGCTTGGCACAGAGCCGTGCTGGCGGCCCCCACCCTCGCCCGCACAACCGCTGAAGATGCCAGGCGGGAGACGGTGTCACCCACGAACACTAGCTTGTGTGCCGTGACAATGACAAATTTGCCGTGTGGCACAAAGACGCGGGGCGGCTGGTGGGCCCCGGCACTGGCCAAGAGGACCTCGATGGCTGACAGGAGCGTGCGGTAGTGCGTCTGGCACTGCCCCATGTAGAACTGCAGCAGCTGCCTGTCCTCTGGGGATGGCGGCACCTGGCGAGGAGAGAAAAGGTGGTTAGGACATTTATGACCTTAGGAACTCCTTGCCACTGGAAATGGACATTTCCTGCCACACGCCACCCTCCAGAAGTGGAATTTTTCCCGGGGATCTAAAAGGGTTTAGCCAAAATATATTTCAACATCACGTGATCCACGGGGTGGGGTCAAAAAAGCCAAGATGACAGTCAATGACAGTGTGATCTGAGCTCGGTAGGTTTTTTAGACATCAAAAACAGAAGATCAATTTGGATGGCAGAGTTACTGTTGGTATTTTGACATATGATGACTGTATTTTATGATTATGATCATGGTTTATCACTTGTGCATAGGTACACTGAAAGCACCAAGCACTGAGATGCACCGGAGACAAATTCCTTGTGTGTCCAATCACACTTAGCCAATAAAGAATTCTATTCTGTTCTGTTCTATTTCTATTTTCTATTCAATTTGATTCCTCTATTCTATTCTATTCTATTCTATTCTATTCTATTCTATTCTATTCTATTCTATTCTATTCTATTCTATTCTATTCTAATTCCTTTCTGTTTTATTCTATTCCTTTCTGTTCTAGTTCTATTCCTATTTTCTATTCAATTTGATTCCTATTTTCTATTCTATTCTATTCATTTCTGTTCTATTTCTATTCTATTCCATTCCATTCCTTTCTGTTCTATTCTAAATTCTGTTTTGTTCCGTTCTATTCCACTTTTATTTTTTCCACCAACCCCCCCACCCCCACCCTTCTGTTTACACAATGTGTTGTGGTCAGATACACAATGATTCCAATCAGTGGGTTCAAATTCCACCTGGGGTGCATTTTAACAGGACTTCTGCAAGGGGTGGGCAGGAGCCAAAGGTCGGCTTCTGATTTTTGCAAACATGGCTTTCCACAAATGTCTCGGGCTCTGCTTTTTAAGTGCTGAGACCCTGAGGTCATAAATTTGGGTGGGACACAATGAGGGCAACAGGCTATAAAGTTAAAAGAAGAGATACCATATCTTCCGTTGGAGTTGCCTCCCCTGAGACCGAAAATGTGGGGCTGGCTTCGGGTGTGGTTGCTTTCTGCTGGATTTTATCAGCCCCCTGAAGAGAGGAGAGAAGAAGCAAAAGAAAGAAGGAAAGAAGGGACGGAGAGAAGGAAAGGAAAGGAAAGGAAAGGAAAGGAAGGGGAGGGAAGGGAAGGGAAGGAAAGGAAAGGAAAGGAAAGGAAGGGGAGGGGAGGGAAGGAAAGGAAAGGAAAGGAAAGGAAAAAGGAAAGGAAAGGAAAGGAAAAAGGAAAGGAAAAAGGAAAGGAAAAAGGAAAGGAAAGGAAAGGAAAGGAAAGGAAGGAGATGAACAGAAGATGGAGTAGAGAGGAGAAGAGAGGAGAAGCAAAGAAGGGTAACAGTGAGGAAGGGAGGGAGGGAAAGAAGGAAATTTAAAAATAAAGGGAAAAAAAGGAAAGGAAGATAGAAAAGGGAACGAAGGAAGGAAGGAGAAGAAAAAGGAATAGAGAGGGAATGGGAAGGAAGAAAATTTAAAAATAAAAGTGAGGAAAAGGAAAGGAAGATAGAAAAGAAGGAAGAAAGGAAGGAATTTTAAAAATAAAGGGGAAAAGAAAAGGAAGATAAAAAGGAAGGAAGGACGAAGGAAGAAGGTGAACAAAAGATGGAGTGAGGAGAAGCAAAGAAGGGTAACAGGAAGGAAGGGAGGGAGGGAAGGAAGGAAATTTAAAAATAAAGGGGAAGAAAAGGAAAGAAAATATGGAAGGAAGGAAGGAAGGAAGGAGAAGAAAAAAGAATAGAGAGGGAGTGGGAAGGAAAGAAGAAAATTTAAAAATAAAAGTGAAAAGGAAAGGAAGATAGAAAAGAAGGAAGAAAGGAAATATAAAAATAAAGGGAAAAGAAAAGGAAGATAAAAAGGAAGGAAAGAAGGAAGGACAATAAGGAAGGAAAGTGGAATAAAGAAAAAAAGGAAGAGAAAAGACAAAAATAAAAGAAAGAACAACAAGAAGAGTGCATTTTATTTGCTGAGCCTTATTTAGGATAAAAGAGACAGAGAAAGCCAAATGCCAGAACACAATTAAGAAACTCTTTTGAAAAACGCAACCAACGAACAGCCCCGCTGCTCAAATCAGTAAATCCGATCGGCTCTTCAGCGATTTCCGTGGGACATGTCGCCAGCAGCTCTCTTCGTCCATTGCAACCCCCAAAACTCTGGTGTGTTTAGTTCAGCAAAATTGTGTGTGTACACAAGAGGACCGTTTCTATTGAGGATTTGAGATTTTGAAATTTGCCCCTCAGGCCATCATCAACTCCTCTGACCCTAATTTGAATGTTCGGTATGCAGTTCTTTCACCCGCCAAATATTTCGGCTAGCTAGAACAAGCAAAAACGGATCCTTTGTGTTTTAACACCAGCATTTTCATCATTTCTCTCTCCTGCCATAGAAGCGCATGCTGGACATTCAGAACATGCTGGATTTCACTTAAAAATGCAATATTTGAATAAAGACAAGAGAGGGCTCGGCGCAATACAGGCAGTCCTCGATTTACGACAACCGAGACAGTCGTTAAGTGAGTTTCACCTCCATTTCAATGACCTGTCTTGCCACAGTTGTTAAGTGAAACCGCTGCAGTGGTTAAGTTAATGACATGATTGTTAAGTGAATCTGGTTTGCTCATCAGATGGTCACAAAAGGGGGAATCACATGACCCCAGGGACATAAACCGTCATAAATATGAGTGAATTGCCAAGTGTCTGACTTTTGATCACGTGACCACGGGGATGCAGCAACAGTCATAAGAGTGAAAAACAGCCGTAAGTCACTTTTTTCAGTGCCGTTGTAGCTTCAAACGGTCACTAAATGAACTGTTGTAAGTCGAGGACTATCCATTGAGCGGTGCACACAATATGGGTAGCCCTTGACTTACAACAGTTCATTTAGTGACCGTTCGAAGTTACAACAGTACTGAAAAAAGTGACTTGTGACCGTTTTTCAAACTACGATCAGGTGATCACAATTCAGATGCTTGGCAACCGATTCATACTTACGACCGTTGCCGTGTCCTGGGTTCACGTAATCCCCTTCTGCAACCTTCTGACGAGCAAAATCAACGGGGAAGGCAGGCTCATTTAACAACCGTGTGACTAACTTACCCACCGCAATGATTCACTTAACAACTGTGGCAAGAAAGATGGTAAAATGGAGGCAAAATTCCAGTTGCTGACGGTTCGGAGCGATTCTAGCAAACCGGTAAGTTTGCTGCGTTTGGTCACGTGGTGACCTGCTTTAGGACCATAATTCCCAGTCTCGATGATGTCATAAGTCAAGGACTACCTGCAAAAGCATCATGGCCGTTAGATGACGTCCCAACGTCAAGAATAGGATAATGATCATCTTGGTGTTGTGGTCATCCTTACCTTCAGATGGACATAATCGTACTCATCGGCCAGACGGATCCCTTCGTATTCGTTGTGGACATCATCCCTGGCTTGGTCCAGTTGGTCCCCCACCCCGAGACCCCCCAGCCGGGGCGGAGGGGGAGGCAGCGGGCGGTCCTGTATGCTGCCCTTCCGCACGATGTTGGGCGATGGGGGTGGTAGCTCACCCGAAAGCCGCTCCTCGCTGGGAAGAGCGGGCAGTGGACGGCGGGACAGACTCTCCGCGGATGGCAGCCGGGGACGAGTGGGGGGTCCCGGATCCCTTATGTTGAGTCCTTGGAGGGCTCCCTCCAGGGGCGGGGTGCTGGGCGTCAGCAAAGGAACGTCATAAATGGCCCCGTCTTCCTCTTCGTCTTCTTCGTCCTTTCCTCCAGCCCGGATGTCTTCTGGAGATTCGTACAAGTTAAGCAAGGCAGAAGCGCGTCGTAAATTGGACGGGATGGCATAGATCAGCGGCCCTTCGCAGTTTTCTTCCTCCTCCTCCTCTGCCTCCTCTTGCGCCAGGGCTTTCTTGAAGGCGAGCGGCACATCATAAGCCTCGTCTGCATTTGGAGGGGCACTGGGCTGGGGGGCTACCCGGGCGACTTTTTTGACCCGTGGGGCCGGCGAATCATACATGTCCAAAACCACATCGCGGAGCAAAGACGAGGGTACATCGTAAATCTATGAATGGAAAAAGAGGAAGAAGAAGAAGTTCCCAAATGAAAGCCTCTTTTTGGTCAAGCATCCAGCTAAGCCATAAACCAGTTTGGCTGCTTTGGGGCCCACATGTTGGGTGAATCCAGCTATGAACCATTGTTTACGGCTCAGTGCGTTTGAGCCACACAACCTGGCTAGATCAGGAGTGGAGAGCTCAGCATGGGTGATAAACATAGTCACTTTAATTATAAATTGCAGTTTATGGCTTAACCTAATGTTCTGCTATGATGGTTTAATCCATGTACCATAATTAAAATGAACCATGGCTTACATTATATGTCAAGGTAATGCTTCCCACCTGCCCAAACTTGGGCTCTTGAAGATGTATGGACTTCAATTCCCAAAATTCCCATGGCTGGGAAATTTGAGGCCTTTAAGGACAGTAATTTTCAGCCATGGCCATTTGAAGATGTGTGGACTTCAACTCCCAGAATTCCCATGTATGGCTTTGGGGCCTTTAAGACAGTGTTTTTCAATCTTGGCCCCTTGAAGCTGGGTGGACTTCAACTCCCAGAATTCCCATGGCTGGTTTTGGGGCCTTCAGGGACAGTGTTTTTCAATCTTGGCCACTTGATGGAATTCTGGGAATTGAAGTCCACCCATGTCAAGTAGTGAGGTTGAGAAACACTAAGAGGGAAAAAACCTTAATTGTTACATTCAACTAAATCACTTTCCTCTATTCTCATATTTTTAGTCAGCATTTCAATGAAAGATCTGCATATATTTTGATTTTCCTCCGTTCCATCTCTTTCCCCTGGAAAAATTAGAAATAAAGATTGGAGCCTCTTTTATTTAACCTTCATCCCACTAGATTTCTATCTATAAGACTTTTTAAAGACATTTTGAGCATCTCTCCTTGGCTTACGAGCACAATTGAGCCAACATTTCTGTGGTTGTTAAGCGAGTTTTGTCCCATTTTATGACCTTTCTTGCCACAGTTGTTAAGTGAATTACTGTTTAAGTCAGTCACACGGCTATTAAGAGAACCTGGCCTCCCCCATTGACTTCACTTTTCAGAAGGTTGCAACAGTGGATCACGTAACCCCGGGACGCTGCAACCGTCAGAAGTACATGCCAGTTTCCAAACATTCTAATTTTGTTCACGTGACCCGGGGAGGCTGCAACAGTTATAAGCCTGAAAAATGGTCACAAATCACTTTTTTCAGTGCTCGTTGCTGGATCTATTGCAGCCACTTGGACCAATGACCATCTTGGTTTACAGATTTAAGAAGAGTTGGAAGGGACCTTGTAGGTCATCTAGTCCAACCCCCCGCCCAAGCAGGAGACCTTACATCCTTCCAGACAGATACAGATTAACTGAGTTGGAAGGGACCTTGTAGGTCATCTAGTCCAACCCCCCGCCCAAGCAGGAGACCCTACACCCTTCCAGACAGATACAGATTAACTGAGTTGGAAGGGACCTTGTAGGTCATCTAGTCCAACCCCCCCGCCCATG